CATTGTGACTTGCCATTGAGTCTCAGGCAGGGACTTAGGCATCTGAAAGTTCAGTTTTTCCATCTGTGAAGTTGTCATAATGCTTGCAGTTTTAGGTGGTTATGAAGATTAAATGAACCATCACTTTGCCTAGTGCCTGGAGCATCAGGGTTTCTCAGGGTGGTTACAGGCTTACAATCTATTTCGTTTTCTCAGGAAAGACTATACAGAATGCTTTTATCCAAAATGCTTAGGACAGAAGTATTTTGGATTTCAGATGTTTTAGAATGTTTACATAATATTATAATTAATTAGATATAAATGTTTGCACATATACATAAAACATTTATAAAAATTAAACAATTACCATATTTTTTGATCACCATTGTTGTGGTACATGTTTTCTTCATTTCTTCTGAATATTTACCCTTATTCAGTTCTCGTTTGTTGAGATATCTATCTATCATAATAATATGTGACAAATCTTGAGAGTGGGACCCAAGTGAACACGTAATTCATTTTTCTTTCATATACACTTTATACTCATCACCTGAAAGTAATTTCACACAATATTTTAAATAATTTTGTACATAAGACAAATTTTCATAATGTGGAATTTTCCATGTATGGCATCATATTGCTGCTGAAGTAGTTTTTGGTTTTGGAGAATTTTGGATTTCTTTGGGTTATGAATGCTGAAGCTGCACTAAAATTCTTCGAAGCATGTGGCTGGATGTCTGCTCATCATTTGGATATTTCCAGGAAAGCAGTTCTTCCAACCCCATACAGATAAACACATGTAGTGATGGAATTGTACCCTAGCCTGTCTTCTGCCCTCTCCTGCCCAACATTTGATACTTTCCTCCTCACATTTAAAGTATGCTTCATGTGCCACCAACCTGCTCATTATTATACTGTGTAGGGTATTATCAAACAAAAACAGAAAGAATGAAGAGCTGACACACCTTGCAGAAAAGTCTCCGCAGGGTGGGTGGTAGGGGAGGGAGGAGGCGGAGAGTTTCCTGGTGAGATGCCTGACGGCTGAGGGCGTTTCCCTTAGGTGGGCTCTTTCTGTTGCAGCAGTGATGGCTTCTCTTTGGGAGATACAGTTAAAATCACCTCTACCACTTAAAAGTTCTGAGGGTCTGTGTAGAAATCTCAGCTTAGAGCTTAGCATAGATTTACACTTGCCTAGGGGCAACGGATCCATCAAAATGGCCATTACTGGTGAAATTAACCAATTTTTCCCTAATGTGAGTTTTTGCCATGGTGTTGTTTCAGAAAAGCATCATTTAACAGCAACAAAAAGTTTCACGAGTCCACAGGCAGAGAGATATTCATCAGCTCTATTATCTCTTTAGCTACAGAGGCTTCTTTGCCAAATATGATAATTAATTAGCTCTGTGCTTCCAGCTCTGGGGTGATTGTCTCTCATTAGAGGCTAAAGTGGCCCCTGTGTGTGGCTGTGCTCTGGCTCAGTTGCATAGTGCTTGGGAAGCTATATAAAGAAAGGCAACATCAGCATAATTATAAACCCAAAACGTCAGATGTTTGTCATGTGACTTTATTTATAAGGCTGATGTTTCTTTCTTGAGACCCAGCAAATAGAAGGCATGAGACGTGGGCTATTATTGAAATAAGAAAATAATACCCTTATGATCGATACCAGGAACACAATTCTGAATTCAGGAGAAAAATAAAAATCAAGCCCGTTAAAATACATGCAGCTTTTGAAAATATTCTGCCACCCTTTTGTCTTCAGTAATTCAGTTTTTCGATGGGGCTGTAGGATCTGATTTAGTTTGGAGTTGGTGTTTGTATCATTTTGTTATTGGTGATGTTATGCCTAGACAAGTGAAGCGTAAAAGGCCATCTTTGTTCTGAGGGCAGCAACGATTTCTATGTCCTTCAGGTAGAAGAAAAAGGAGTGCACTCTTATTTTGTTTTCTGGAACACTCAAAAAAATAAAATAAGCAAGTAGGGAGAGCATAATTGCATGCGTGTGTGTTTTAAAGAGCTGGAGACTGCACTGCTGCTTTTCCCCTCTTCTGCTGGCATTCGGTCACCTCCGTGGAAAATCCACCCCTGGGGATGCCCCTCGAGCCCCTTTCCTTCCACAACCCCGTGCAGCCGCACTCGGACGCACCACCTTTGTGAAGATTTTTGTGTCAGCAAAACCAAGGGACATAAGGCAGCCCGCTCTTTCTGGGACCACTGTTCTATCAACGTGAGCTTCTTTTCTACCTAAATCTTTTCAATTCTTACAGTGGGCATGGAGGCTGACCCAGTTACCCCCCACTCCTGTGCTGTACTGATTGAGCTCGTGACCCCCTTATCTATTCCCTTTCCCACCCCATCCCCCTACACTGACATTTGTCCCAAACCCTCTCTTAATGCTGTAACATAATTCATCAGGACAGCCTTAATGAGCTGATAATTAGTCTGGTGGGAGGAGGTGGTGAGGGAGGGGGACAGAAATGCCAGACTCAGGGAAAGTTGAGCAGCCGAGGCACTTAAGGGTCCCTGAGAGAGCTTTTCGTCAACAAAATGGATCATACTTACAGGCAGTAAAACTTTCCAATGACCTTCATGTCAAAATATTAGGCTGCTATTTTTCGCTGGATGGTGGTTTCATAAACATAAAAAGCATACATATCATTCAGAGTGCAGCAAAATTTGTCTCAAATATGTGGAGCTCCTTTTTTAAAAGGAAGACTAATGTAGCTCTATGTGTTGGAGAAAATGACATAACATCCCAGCCTTTCACTGCTGCCAAAATAGATATTTACGGCAGGCTTGTGTGCACTCTTCAGCCCCTCTCTCTCTCTCTCTGTCCTTCTCCCTCCCTCCCTCTCTCTCTCTCTCAAAGGAAACACTTAGCTATACTCATTGATATATAAATAGATACAAGAGAAAGATCTCGACCTTAGAGAACTTTTCTAATTTTCATTCAGGAAAATTGCTCACTGAGCTTTACAACTTATAACAAATTAAGGACACTAGTGATAGATGCACAGTTAGAAGATAGAGTTATGATGAACTGCTGAAAGTAACTCTTGAACAGGAGGAAAAATTATCAGAAATATGGACAATGCATATTTTTCTCAAATAATTTCTTCTCAAGGTTAAACTTCAGGAAGACTGATTAATGTTTGAATTTGTACTGTCGAAACGATAGGAAAAGTAAATAAATATGTCCCAAAGAATCTGTAGTTTCTCTTCTGGTAGAATTTTGGTGCCCTCCCTTATCTGAGAAGCAGCAGGCTGGACAGGTAATAGGGAGCTAGTAAGGTGTTCTGATTTAAAAAATAAGATTTAAGCAGCAACCCTAACCATAAGTAACCAGTTTGGGGAACTGAGAGACAGTGTTGAATGGAGAGAGACAGAAAATCCAGTAACTGATAGAGATTAAAATAGTATTTATATGTCATTTTCTAATAGTGCTGTGGTCACCAGTCAATAAAGATAATGTACATTGAAAGTGCTTTGCCAAGAAGAAAACACAAGACAAATGTTGTGTTTTATTGTTGCTTTTAGAATTAAGAGGTGATTACTTCACCTGGGTTTCAGTGGTATAAATCAGAACTGATCCTCCTCCTTCTGTCACCTTTGGCATCTCTGGATCAAATGAAATTCCTTCCTGCCCTTAAGATTTGAATGAGCCAAATGTACTGCTAAGTAAATCATGACTCACAGTCTTGCGATCGATTGCCTCTCCTGCCCAATGCAAACTTCTCAGACTTGAATCACCAGCAGAGGAGGTCTGATTTAGCGGCCTCTGGGTGAGGTTCCCAGGCTCTGCACCTCTGTCAAGCTCCCAGTGATGTTTGGCTGTGGGTAGGAGAAGCCCCTGACATTCGTGGTCACCTTGAAGGTTTCATCTCACGAAGCCGGTTTCTTTCTGGGCCCCGACTGCAGCGTGGACCCTAACGGCAGATACATGAGAAGGGCGTGGCTGGCTGCTCACAGCGCCACATCATGAATCAACATGAGTGCCACCTATTGTTCATGACGACCCTATCTGTTCTACTTTTATAAAATTTTTATATAGTCAGATCTTATTGTCTATCTGCTTTTAGGTTTTAAACAAGGAAGGTCTATTTCTTTGGTGCATACAATAAAGTCTGTTAAAATAGAACACGACTCAGTTTCTGATACTAGAATTGAACACATATAGGCACTTTTCCACAGCTTGAACTAGTGTCTGTGTTGTGGATCAGGGTAGGGGTTGGGACGGGTTTCGAGGGTGGGGATGTCCGTCTAGACACCTTAGAAACTCAAGCTGAAGTTGGGGCTTCCCTGGGAGAGATGTGACCCTTAAAAGATGCTACCAAGACCCCTGCCTTTGACAGATATCTAAAACTTTGAGAACCAATACAGACTTGCAACATTGCTCATTGGCTGGATCATTTTATTAGAAAAATAGTTTCACATCTGGACAATACTATGTTTTACTCCAAACCACTCAGTATGCTGTATTTAGTTAGTATGATTGCATATAAAACACATTGGGGGCACAGGTAACCTTGATGGCTGCAGAGGCCTTGGAACCGCTTTCCAGCCAGCTCATAGGCAGACAGTTGAAGGACTCTGGGGTGGTTACAGGTAAGAGGCTCATTCCCCAGAGCACTGCCTGGGCATCCATCATGGCCACTGTACAAGGCCTTCTGTACAACTTCCCCCCATGACTTCCACCCACTGTTGATGAGGCAAAACATCTTATGAGGAGAAGTTATCCTTTGTGACTGAATATTCAGCCAAACTCTTTTCAAGCTCTTCCAAGTATTTTAGAAGCACCATTTACTTAAAAATAGTAGAATCAAGTGGTGCACTTCTATAATCTTAGCACTCTGGGAGGCAGAGAGAGGATTGCAAATTCAAGCCCAGCCTGGGCAATTCAGTGACTTAATGAGAATTTATCTTATAATAAAAATAAAAAAGAGTTGGAGATGTAGCTCAGCGCAAAGGACTGCATTTTAACCCCTAGCACCAGAAAACCAAAACAGAACAAAAAACAGAACTGCCAATAAATATCATTTTAGTGTATTTGTCAAAGTAGTTCACTCCCAAAATCTGAATAGTGGTCATGAGCATCCTAGAAATGCATATACTGTGTCTGAAAAGTAATACATTTGTGTATTTTGAGATAGAAAGTGCAGGTTTGCTCCTCCTGATTTGGATTCTCCGTCTGTAATTGGTCTGTACTTAGCTCTGCTGGCTGTGGTGCTGGTGGCTTTGTGTCAGAGCTGAGAACTGTCTCTGTGCACTGCTGCTCCACGGGTCCTCTGTCCTAGCAAGTCACCAGCTGCTGGAGATGGAAGTCTGCATCTGAAAGGCAGCAAGACGCAGGCAGAGGTTTTTTTTTTTTTTTTTTTTTTTTTTTGGGAATCAAACTAGAGCCTTTGCATTTGCTAGTTGATGCTTATAGAAGTTAGGGTTCTATCCTCTCTCACAGACTGAGGGACAGGATCCCATCTTTTTTTTTTTTTTTAACAAAGTTGGAACAAATAGAAAATGTTAAAGATATGTATTTTTCCCAATTTTGATGTTTAACACCTAGGGTAACCCTGTTATGGGTGGTCCAGTAGCATGGTTTAATCACTGAGTGGTCTGTGGCCAGGAATATTTCAGTCAGTCCTGTCCGCCCACCTTAAAATATCCCTGTTTACTGTTGTCGCTATAGTTAGAGACTTGGTGAGGTCAATAGGACTTGATTAAGTGGACTTAGCTAAGATACCCAGGCTGGGCTCAAATTTGTGACTTTCCGCCTCAAACTTCCGCATGCTGAGATTTAAATTTATAGGAGCATTGTTTGTCAGGTGATAATGACAAATAAGGACTTGGAATATGAACAGGTATGACCGGGACTTCTCTTCACTAGGCTGGTGTAGAGATGCGTGAGGTTTTATTTTTGTTTTAATGAGGTCAGATGTTGTTTTCAGGCGAATACTTTTCTGCAGTTCTCACTATAGAAAATCTTAGTCCTCAGCAGAGAAAGTCAAACAATGAGAAACAAACGAAATGGGTATCAAGTTCAGGTGATTCTTCCTTTACAATGGGAGTCTATTCATTCTTCATACACTTAAACCAAGCACCACTCACTGTATCTCTGGGCACCTCCAGTCCTCACCTAAATGGACTTGTATTATCAGAGTTTCTTACTGTCAACTTAACTCTTTTTAAAATCATCCTATACTATCTTTCCACACCTAGCTTCTTAAGTGATCACTGATGATATTCAAGCCACTATGACATGGACTTGACTTTATTAGATGGTGGAGCTACTTTGATCTTCCAGATGAAAAAGCCCCCTGACATTTCATGAGTGGAAAAGAGCAATGGCAACTGAGTCATTCAGGGGAGGGGAGCAGGTTTCACAGGCTTACCTATGTACATGTACCTTGATAGCTGTCTCCAGACTATCCTTGTCTTCCCTGGTCTTGATAGATGTATCACAGACTCTCCCAAAACTCCTTCCAAAGCAGGAAATAAGAGATTAGAGAAAAAGGCCCATGTTTGGATTCATCCTGAGGGCTGTCCATGCATGTACCATCTAGGTGAGGAGCTTGTGTTTCTGTTGTCTTTATTCCTGCATTTTCTCTGTGTCTTTCCTCTCATGCATATTTATGAGTCAGAGGATCTTGTCTGAAGTCTGTATTCTGGAACAAGTCGTCTAAATTACATGGCACAGAAAATCAGGATTGGAGCTGGAAGGCAGTGTACTTGATGTATTCCAGGCATAGAGACTCTTTTCCACATGGGCCCGTGGGGAGAGTTGTGTTTAGATTGAACGGTTTCTTGCTTTGGGACTTCCATACACATCGTTCCCCTTGTCAATAGGGCATCGAAGTGTACACGCTGGCCTTTGCAGAGATAGATTGGATAAGTCATCTCATAGTCAGCACACAGAAGATTCCTGCTGCCCTGCTGCCTACTCCATGGTGTGGAGTGAGTATAGTAGTCACAGTGACAAAATACTTGCAATAAACAATTTAAAGGAGGAAAGACTTGTTTTGCCTCATGATTTCAGTGGTTGCAGTCCATGTTCTTTGGCCCTTATTGCTGTGGTCTGCGGTGATATAGTATATCATGTGAAAGCACATGGCTGCTGATGTGATGGGAGCCAAGAAACAATGAGAGAGAAGAGGGGTCCCAGCATCTTCTTTAAGATTGCACCCTTAAGGACATAACTTCCTTCAACTAGACCCCACCTCCGAAGGTCCCACTGGCTCCCCAAAGTGCCTCAGGATAGTCATATTCAGCACTGAAGCCTTTGGGAGACAGTTACTATCCAAACCACAACACTGGGACTCTGTAACTGTAAGACTGGTATGAGATCTATGACGTCACTGAATGTTTTCCTTCAGACTGTTTTTAAATCATGATAATGTGTTGAAAATGGCTCTTTATGTCCAGGTAAAGTTCTATGGCATGATTATAACATTTGGAAGTGTGCATTTTAATGGTGATTGCTTCAGCCTTAATTATGACAGTATAGAGGCTCTTAAAGAAGTCTGGAGGTGAGAGCAGAGTGAGAGGAAACCATCACAGCACAATGAAGATGTATTATTTTGGAGATGGTAGAATTTATCAGCTGGAATGCAACTATCTGACTCGATACAAGACATAAATTACACAATAAAAGGGAATTATAATTTTGAAGCACTGAAAGGCATAACTAAGTTATTCTCCTGGTTTTTGCTCCACAGGCTGCATCTCATTCTCCGAGGAGCTATACACTTAATGCTGAATAAAACAAAATATAGGAAAGCCTTCACTGGTCAGCAGTGCCAAAGTCGAGTGAAGATTGCTTTTGTCTCCTAAAGAGATGGAAAGAAGAATCTTCGCATAGTTACTCCTTTACAAAACCAAACCAGAATTCTATAATATTAGCAATTCTTAGAGTTTTCACATTCTTTAATAGGTGTCAAAGGCAAGGTTATTTTGCAAGCATGCAATTATGGCAAGGTTTTAATTTTTATTTTGTTATGAAAAGATACTTGAGGTGTGAGATTCTACCGTTTTGCAAAGACTGATGCTCTTTCAATGGACTTTGGAGATGAGATGGGTAGGAGGCACTTAAGGGCCTGATCCAATAGCCATAGGTACTAAACTGAGACTTGGGTACTAAGTTCAAACCTTTGTTTTTGTTACTTACAAAAACAGTTCTGCTCAAAAAGATATTCACTCAAGTCCACAAAAAAGTTTTAAAGTCTTAAATTTTGTTTAATAAATGTTTCTATTTGGTATATTGAGGGAGTTATATAGAGGAGTTCTTGTGTACCTGTCTTTTATTTGCTCACCATGTGCTGTTATAGAAATTTTTCTTTTCTCCATAGTTGAGTATTTCTTTGCTCCTAACATGCATATATGCTATCACATATAACCATGGAAGTGCCTGCCCACTCAGACTGGAGGTCTGCTTGTTAGGTACAAGTGTAGGATTATAAAAACTTTGCATGTGTTACTATAGTGAATATCTTCTACTAGAAAAAAATAGAAATTAAAAATTTTTTTTCTCCCTACCAATAGTTAGAGATTGACAAGCAATCTGTAAATTCTATCTGAAAACTAAAGGAAAACATTTAACACCATGTTTTGGAGACATGATTGATATATGACAATCTGTACATCTTTAATGTATATATTTTTATGAGTTTGAAGATAAATATATATCCATGAAATTATCACTGCTATGAAGACCATAAACATATCCATTACCTCCCAAATTACTTCTCCCTACTCCCTTTATTTTATTTTTATTTTTTGCTTTTTTGTTATTTGCTTTTTTATTGAGAGAACTCTGAATATGAGCTCTAACTTCTTAGCAAATTTTAAAAATACAATACTGTCTTAATAGCTACATGCTTGTTATGGTTTATGTGTGTACCCCCAAAGCCTCATGCGGCCATGGGGCAGGCTTTTAGAGTTTGATTATGGGTGTGAGAGCTGCACCCACCCTGGGGTGGATAGTTTGCATATGTAAGGGAGAGGAAAAGAGTGCTTGAGGCCATTCCTCCCCCATTCCGCCCTGGTGTGAGCTTGTTGCTTTCTGTGTTCTGCCGCCCTGAGCTGTAGCTCTCTGCCATGTGCCAGTCTGCCTTGTAATCTGCCAAGTATGGACCGAAACCTCCACAAACTGTAAGCAAAATAAACCTTTCCTTCCTTAATTTTGGGCGTCAGGTATTTTGTCCCAGCAACGAGAGAAAAGTAACCAAGACAATGCTCTATGCATTTATAAGAATCTTTGGCAAGACTAACACTTAGGAAGTCTCCCCCTGTGTTTTCTTCTAGAAGTGTAATGGTTGACACTTTTAGTACATCTCCGCATCTTACTTATCTTGTATGTCCTTTTTTTATACATCCACATCTTACTTATCTTGGATGTCCTTTTTTTATAAAGCTGAATAATAATGTGTCATATGTATATACCATATTTTCTTTATCCAGTCTTAGTTGACAAATATTTATATTGTTTCTATATCTTGGCTATTATAATTAGTGCTGTAGTGAACATGGGAGTGTGGAAATCTCTTAGAGGGAGGTTTTTCATTTGGATATATACACAGAAATAGGATTGCACTGAAACAAACACATAGACCAATTCCTTAATTAGTTCATTAATTTTTGAGTAACTTCTCTATTGTTGTCTACAGTGGCTATAAGAGTGCATTATAGAGTGCCTTTTTTGCCTCATTTTGGCAACACACATGCGTACACACACACACACACACACACACACACACACCATCTGATGGGAGTGAGATAATATCTCATTGTGGTTTAATTTGCATTTCCCTGATGATTGTGATATTGAGAGTCTCTTCATACACCTGTTAGCTATTTGTCTTTTGGGAAATGTCTTTTGACCATTTTAAATTTGTGTTTTAGTTTTGTCATTCAGTTGTATGTGTTACTTGTATAGTTTGGCTATTTACCTTTATCAGGTATATGGTTTTCAAGCATTTTTGCCCATTATGTAGATTTCATTGTACTGATTATTTCCTTTGCTATGCAGAAGCCTTTTTAGTTTCATGCAGTTCTAATTGTTTTAATTTTCCTTTTGATGTAGTTCTCAGTGTTCAATTTCCCTTTTGTTGCCTGTGCTTTTGATGTCATTTACAAAAATCTTTGCCAAGACCAACACTAGGGAACTTTTTCCCTGTGTATTCTTCTAGGAATTTTATGGTTTTAGCTCTTAGATTAAAGACTTTAATCTATTTTGGGCTGATTTTTGTATACGGTATCCAATTTTATTCTTTTGCATGTAAATATCATTTTTTCCCCATACTATGTATTGAAGAGACAGTTCTTTCTCCATTGTGTATTTTTGGCAATACTGTTGAAAACCAGTTGACTGTTGTTTATGTAAATTTATTTCTGGGCTCTTTGTTCTGTTTCATTGGTCTTTGTATCTGCTTTTATGCCAATACCATACGTTTTGCTTACTTTGTATCATAATTTGAAATTGGGAAACTGATGCCTCCAGCTTTCTTCATTTCACTCAGATTGCTTTGGCTCCTTGGGATTTTTGTCATCACATTTAAATTTCAAAATTATCTTTTCTGTGAAAAATGTCATTGGAATTTTGATAGAAATTGCAATGAA